TGTGTCAACACCCTATTGGATAAGAGCTCCCCCACCTCTGGTACCTTATAAAAAACCCCTGCTTGCTGTAATAAACAGAGTTCCAGCTTTGACCGTTCTCCTGGCTCGGTGTTCTTTCTTTGTCCCCGGGGCCGAAGCGCAGAGGGGATCGGGCCTGCGACACTCATCATCCCGCTCAGCCCCATAAGAGGTTGCCGCCGGCTGGTCCGGGGTCCTCTTCCCGCCCTGTGTTGCTGGTCCCCGGTGGCGAGGAACCAACACACGCTCTCCCAAGTGAGCTAACCGGCCATCCCTATATAGGGATCCAAACCCATAGCCTTGGTGTTATCAGCATCACACTCTCCCAAGTGAGCCACGGTCTGGCCCTTTTTCACGAATTTTTTGAAGACCCCTCCTACATAAAATCCTGCAGAGAATAGGTAAAACCATCTCATCAGACATATGAGAGTCAGCAAAAACAGTAGTAACCTCAGAGATAAAACAGGAGGAAGAATAAAGGAACACATTCTATGTTTAATTCTTTGTATAGGATTATAGGGCCTATCAATTTTAAATTGAAACTTATAGGGCCGGCCCGTGGCTCACTTGGGAGAGTGCGGTGCTGACAACACCAAGTCAAGGGTCAAGATCCCCTTACTGGTCATCTTTTAAATAAATACATACATACATACATACATACATACATAAAGAAATACATACATACATACAAACATTAATTAATTAATTAATTAAATTGAAACTTATGAGAATCACAAGAAAAATGCCATGGAGGCCAGTGTGGGCTACTATATAATGCAGCCCTTTTCTCAGATTCATCTATTGTCTAACATTTTGCCTGATTTGCATCATCATTTATACTCAGGCTCTTTCTCTATATACACATTTTTGGGGTACCATTTAAGAGTAGGTAGCACATACCATACATAACGCTTTATCTCTAGATACTTCAATGTATATTTCCTAAGAGAAATAATATTTTCTTACATAATCACAGTATAGTTACCAACTTCAGTAAACTTAACATTTACACTTTTTCCAATTTCTCTTGCATATTCTAATTTTGTCAATAGCCCAATAATGTCCTTCAAAGCATCTTCCCTCTCCAGGAAGGATCCAGTCTAGGATCACTTATTGCACTTAGCTGTAACTCTTTAGTCTCCTTTCATCTGGAACATTTCCTCTGCCATTGACTTTTATGACACTGACATTTTTGGAGAACACATTTCCCTTTCTGCACCTTTCTTGTTTTTTAGTAGAAGGAGGCTTCCTTTTGGGTTTGTCTGATGTGTCCTTAGATTATGTGTTCTTGGATGGAATACTATATAGATGATGATGTTTCTCAGGGTATCACATCTAGAGGTATAGGATGTACATCTGCTACTCACTGGTGATGTTAATTTTGGATTATATCCTGAATGTTGTCAATGTTACCTTGTGGATACCCTGGACTTTGTTACACATTCCTCCAAAGAGTGTTGATTTTTTTTGTTTTGCTTTAAGTAACTTGATTTGGCTAAAACTGAAATCTCTGTCTTTTGGGGAGTGCTCAAATCTCAGTTTAGTTCTTTTATCTTTAGCTGAGCTGCCTGAGTCTGCTCATGCAAGCACGGTTCAGGGGTTAGCCAGAGACCTGGGCAGTTTATATGCAGAATTAGGGGCTGAGTTTCTCTCCCTCTGGTTCTTTGGGCCAGAAAGACTGAGTTTTCTATCAGAGTTTTAGCTGCCCAAAGTGCACTGATGGCTAAAAGCAGTAAAAATAGGAAACTCATGCTGTTCCAAATGTTGACTCCCCTCCTGAATTTGCCCGCTTTAGGTCACTCTCCAATGTCTTTAAGTTGTGGTTTTTCACATTTTGTCTAGAATTTATAGTTATCTATAAGGAGGCTGGTCTGATAGCTTACTAAGTAAAACAAAAGCAGCATGCTAGTGACATTAATTTTGATCATTTTTGAATATGTGGAATATTAATATGTTTCCCAAAGTCAAAATTATACCAAAAAGGCATGCTCAGGGAAGTGTCATGCCTTCCTAAAACCCTTCTGCCCTCACACACCCTCCACCCCACTCCATACAGTTTTCTGGCTGATCCTTTTTGTGTTTCCTTTTTGTAAAATTAAGCAGATATATCTATGTTTTCTTATTTCCCCTTCTTCCTTACACAAAACATAGTATATGTTTGGTGTTCATTTACGCTTTTGCTTTTTTTTTCCCACTTAATTTCTCCTGGAAATCTCTCCCTATCAGTTGACAAAGATATGATTCTTTATTCTTTTTAGAGCTATGTTATACGCCATTATGTATATATACCATAGTTCATTCAACCAATCTCTATGACTGGATATCTAAGTACTTTCCAATATTCTATATAAATACAGCTGCAGTGAGTAATCTTGTGCATATGTATTTTCATATTTGTGCCATATTATCAGAGTAAATTCCCAGAAGTGGGATTTTTGGGTCCAAGAATAAATATATATGTAGTTCTGTTTGATATTGCCAAATTTCTCTCCACAGGTGTTGTACCATTCTGCAGTCCCATCTGCAATATATGAGAGTGTTTATTTTACCACAGCTTTGCCAATTGAGTGTATTATCAAGCTTTTTGAATTTTTGCCTAACTGGTGAGAAATGGTATCTCAGCATAGTTATGATTTGTATTCCTTTTAAGTAAAATTGAACATCTTTTCATTTGTTTAAAGAGCATTTTTATATTCTTTTGTGAAATATCTGTTCATGTCTTTTGCCTGCTTTTCTACAGATTTTTTTTCGTAGACCAAGGATTCTTAACTTGGGGTCTGCAGAGAAGAACAAAGGTAGAATTCAGGGGGTGTCAGTGACGTTAACTTGGAAAAAAAGCATTTTTAGTTTTACTAACCTCTAACTGAAATTTAGCATTTCCTTTAATTATTATTGTAAGCAATAAATCACAATATTAGCATTAGCTTATTGCCAAAAGAATTCCAATCATTTCATACTATTTGACAGTTGTAGATATTTTGAAATTATCATTTCTACTCATCACTACTTTAAATGAAGGACTTATAGGGCCAGCCCAGTGGTGCACTCGGTAGAGTGCGGCGCTTGGGAGTGCGGTGGCGCTCCCGCTGAGGGTTTGGATCCCATATAGAGACCAGTCCGCTCACTGGTTGAGCGCGGTGCGGGTGTGACACCGAGGGTTGCGATCCCGTTGCTGGTCGCGGTACGGGTGCGACACCGAGGGTTGCGATCCCGTTACCGGTCACGAAAAAAGACAAAAAGGAAAAAAAATAAAAAATAAAAAAATAAATGAAGGACTTATAGAACTGCTGCCACACTGCATGATTACAATTTTCCTGTCTGTAGATGCTCATGTGACAGCTGGGCAACTGCTAAGCAACTTTGCACCTAATACTCATCCAGCTACCAAATAAGTGGAAGTCATGCGACCCCCTACTGGGTACCAAGATACTCTATGTAGCATTCCAATGCTGTATTTTCTATCTGCAAAATTCTCTGTCAACATATTTGGAAAGAGATATGTGATATCTATAAATCCCTGAAAAGGTTTATAACTCTCAAATGTATTTCTATCACTATGGCATCAAAGTTGTATCATGTATCAGAATCCTTTTTTATTTAATATAAACCATATAAAAGATGTTGACCTATCCAAAGATGTATTCATTAATTTTAAGATTAAAAAGTTACTATGACTGGAGTTAAACTTAAAAAGTCTTGGAGAATCCTAGCTGCCTTTGAAAGAAGCTTATCTTTCCTTGGAAAGCAAGCTACGAATGTGTTTAAGTACATTTGTTAAGAAAATACCTTTGTGAATCAGGATTTTCTACACTAGTAACCATCAAAACAAAAACCCCAAATCAACTGTATGTTCAACTTGACATACATATTGCTTTGTTAAAGACCACCTCCCAATTTAATTTTCTTAATCAAGCTAAGTAACAATAGCTGATGTCCTAAAAAATAAAGTTGAACTCTGACTTGCTTAAGATTCAAATATATTATCTAGTTACTTCACACACATGAATTTGTTCTAATGTTTTGGTAACTACACAAGTACTTCAACATAACTGGTTTTCTATGTAATCCTATGTATTATGCTTTATACATTTAAAAAGAATATTCCAATAAAAGGCCCATAGACTTTAGACTGCCCAGGGGCTTCATAGCATACAAATAGTTTAAGAACCCCTGCCGTAGACACTCAACCAGATGTGACTGCTTTAAGACAAGCAGAATAATAAATCAATAAACATTTCCTTGTGCCACATGCCATAACTCACAAGATCCACCAAGTGAATAAAATGTTCACTGGAACCTGAGGAAGACAGACTTTTAGCACTAAATAAGGCAAATGATACAGACTGAATTATTCAATTTTTTTTTTTTTTTTTTTTTTCTCTTGGTGCCTGGCCAGTATGGGGATCTGAACCCTGGACTTTGGTGTTGTAACACTGCACTTTAATCAACTGAGATAACTGGCCAGCCCCTATCAATTGTATGTAACTTTCTAAATTGCAAACTTATTGCACTGTCCAGAAAGCCTTGGAGCCTCTCACCGTCAGTAGAATGCACGTGGGAGCTGCCAATCTGGTCCACTAGCAACATGAAAACGAAGCCCAGTACCAGGGAAACACCGATGTAGGCATGCAGCTGTGTGTGGTCATGACTGTGTTCATGTTCATGGACAACTGATACTTCTGCTGCTTTGTCTGATGCAATCACATTCTGTGTTTCGCTCACTTGGTGGTGTTTTCCTAGAGAAGAATAAACCATAAAAAGAAAATAATTTTTCCACTAAAAACATTTTCATATAGAAGCTTCCATTCTTTTGTATTGCAAGCTCTACTTACTTTAAAGACATCAGCTTTCTATACTGTAATCCAGCCAGTCATAACCTCCTTCAACTTAAACTTCAAGATGAAAAAAATTCCCAAGTGTCTTCTGCTTTGGGCATGCAGAACTTCTGACTGCCTATTATTCTAAAAACCTGGGAAGTGGAAGCAAATCACCATGCTAGAAAGCAGTCATATTCCCAAAGGGACATACTCAAATCTTCCTTTCTGTCTGAGACCTTCATGCCAACCTCATCAGAAACTATAATAAGTTTTATTCTGATGAAAATCAGTAAGAGCAGTAACAATGAAAATAATTACAATCAAATTCATCTAGTTTTACACCTCGGTTGATACAAAAATTGCAAGTAAAGTATAAATTTTTAGCTTTAAAAAATATCAGTGGGTGGCCGGCCCGGTGGCGCACTGCTACAGTGCGCCGCTTGGGAGCGTGGCGGCACTCCCGCCGAGGGTTCGGATCCCACATACAGACCGGCCGCTCACTGGCTGAGCGAGGTGTGGGCGCAACAACCGAGGGTTGCGATCCCGTTGCTGGTCATGAAAAAAGACAAAAAGGAAAAAAAAAATCAGTGGGCAATCACTAACAAGAAACCAAAAAGGAAGAGCAGTTTAAGAGGCACACTTCAGGAAGGAAGATGGCGTCGGGTCTGAGCGTCCGCGCCAGGAGACAGCGTGATCCTGTGAGCC